GAGTAAACTGAGCTGTAGAGTGAAAACGGGCTAAACAGGACAGATTTACTCACATCTGTGATTAAAAATGCTCCAAACATTCATTCACTGGTGTGTTTAAAATCCTGGAGATGGTCGTCAAAGAGGTCACTGCAGCTCAGCGATCAGTAACTGTAATGTAGAAATACGATGCTGAGTCTCTGAGCTGGTTATGGTGTTCAGGGCACTCGCTAATGTTGCTAATGTTTACATGGACTGAGTAGGAAAACCTGGTGGACATTTCCTCCAAAATAAAGCGCAGTGAGTGCAGATCTGTTTAGGAATGTGTGATGTGGTGTTGAACATAATAATCCGCTCTGCTTCTTCTCCGCTTTGGAAAACCCGTCTCAGGCAAATTCCTCACGGTTCCGATGCAGATTTTTGCGGAATGCATTCCGCCGTCTAAATGCAGCTGCTTTGATGCGGAGATGCGCTTTCAGACCTGGGATGCACGCGGTACCGCACAGCGGTAAAACAGCCCACGGCGGCAGACGCGCAGATTCATACAGAGTTTTGCGCGATGAGCTTTGGCCATGTCAGACTAGCCTTTCCGCTCATGTTAGAGGAGCTACCAGACACTCAAACTGCCCTTCTATTAACCGAGCTGAGGCCGAAGGATGATTTTTGAGGTATACGGAAAACCGGAGACCCTCTACTGCCGCTCTGTTAAATGGTGCAGGCGGAAGTTCGATAACGCTACTGTTTACAGCCGGATGTGACGACGCAGTGACTGAGAGAAAGGTCCATTAGTTAATGCACTTATGCTGCAGGAGCTAAACATGAGTAAAACAGAAGGATAAACACACCAGGACTGCAGCTCTGGCAAAGAATAGGTGCTATCAGTAACATATGGCGCACGTGCTTACACCAGAATAACTCCCTCCACCCACGCGCACACACCCACGCGCACACACACACACACACACGCACACACACGCACACACACGCTCTTTTATACATCACACACTAAAGTGTGCGCAGTGTTAATGAAGATTTAATTTTTTTTTTTTTTTATATATATATAAAAAGCCACTAATAGCAAGTATGAGAAGGAGAAAGAGAGAGAGAGAGAGAGAGAGAGAGAGAGAGAGAGAGAATAGCAAGAAGAGAGAGAGAGAGACAGAGAGAGAGAGAGAGAGAGAGAGAGAGAGATGAGAGAAAGGGAGAGTACAAGAAATGAGAGGGATAAGAGGGAAAAGGGGAAAGAAAAATCGAAGAGGAGAGAGAGAGAGAGAGAGAGAGAGAGAGATAGTATGTGAGATGAGGGAGAGGGAGAGTACAGCAACAAAAGAGAGAGAGAGAGAGATGAGGGGAAAAGGAGAGAGATATAAGAGAATAGAGAAAGAAAGAAAGTGAGGTGAGGAAAAGGGGAAATACAGCATGAAGAGAGCGAGATAAGAGGGAAAAGGGGAAATAAGGATCGAATGAGAGAGAGAGAGAGAGAGTAAGGAAGAGTAAAAGAAAATGAAGCAAATCAATGAGGGAAGTCGAGAAAGAGAAAAAAAAAGAGAGCAAGAGAAAGAGAAAGAAAGAGCAGATCAAAAAAAAAAAATCAGACGAGGAATGCGAGAGAGGAGAGAAAGAAAGAGAGAAACAGAGAAAGAACAGACAAAGAAAGAAGAAGAGGAGGGAGATGAGAGAGAGAGAGAGAGAGAGAGAAGAGCAGACCATGAACAAAGAGAGGTGAGCGAAATTGTGAGAGAGATGTGAGGGAAAGAAAGCGTGTGCTGAGGGAAAGGCAGAGAGAAATAGAGAGATAATAAGATAGATAAGCAAGAAAACGAGGAAAATGAGGGAGATGAGATGTGAGAGAAGAGCTGGTGTTGGATGTGTTGAGGACGAATGATAAAATAAATACAGAAGCATTAAACAGCTTTATGAGCTCGATATCGTCGACGACGACACAGTCCAGTGCTGTAGCGTCTCTGTGCTGATGGTCTCTGTAAACACACCTGTAACATGTTGAGCAGCAGTGAGCGGAACTTGGTTCCCTCCACCATGAACAGAGCCATCCTGTCGCAGAGTTTTGCGGCGGTGGCGGCGAAGCTGCGGTCGCTGACGGCTTTTCTGTAAATGGTCTGTACGATCTCGGTGAGCGTCTCCTCGGAGTCGGCAGAGTTCTGAGCCTCCTCCATGAAGGAGGTGAGCTGGCCCTCCACTCCGCTGCTGTTACTCCTCATGCTGTTCAGGATCTCTAGCAGCTTGTCCATGCGGTTCCTCTGCGGACCCATCGTGGCCAGCGGAATGTCCTCCTGCCAATCAGACGACACAGAATAAAACTGTTCAATGAGTCTTCAGCGTACAAACTCAACACTCCAGAGTTAAATCACACATGGAATTGACAGCATTTAAAGTGATAATCGGGTGAAAAATGAAAATAAAACCATTTCCTCTTTCTACCCTGACTGCAGTCCATCAGCGGTCACATGTCTGGTGTATGAAGTTTGCTTCTTTATTTTGCACTGGAGCTACAAGGCTAACTGCCACCAATTAGCATTGTGCTAACAGCATGCCTACATCAGCACACACTCGTCTTAAAACGTGGACGTGTTCAGTATCTCTAATAGACTTATGTGGTTTCTGACACTGTATGACACATTGCTATCTGCTGTCCATTTGTATATTTCATATGTTTTTTGTTTAATATTATACAGGTAAGTTTGTCTCTTAGGACCCTTAATTATTTGTTCTGGCTAACCGCACGGGGTAATGTCTTCATCGTTGCTGCCTCTAGGGCAGTTATCCTTCTACAGTCATCTGCCAACATTTGGGCACCCCTGGTCAAATTACATGTTTTGTTAATTTAATTTAATGTAAAGTGAAAAAAGGTAAGCACATCCTCTGCAGGGAACTTAAACGCAACATTTTATTTGCAAATTTTAGTGCACAGTTTCTATTCATGTGCTGAGTTTAACATACTGAAAAATAAATAAATAAATAAATAAAATGTGGAATTTTGCACAGGCCACATTTTGTGCAAACAAACAATATTTGTGCATTAAAATGTGCAGACGTGTGTTCTGTGTAGAGGATGTTTTAACTCATTTTCACTTGGAAAAGCAACACAACCTGTCACTTCTCCAGGGTGCCAAAACTTTTGCACACGACTGTTTCAGTCACTGCTGTGCCTAACAGCGTACTGTAGATAGTGCTGATTAATTTGGTTAATTTGAATTGACGTTTTCACACGATGTTAGAAAATGAGACAATCGAGATTGTACAAGTTTACATTGCTTATACTTCAATTAAAATACCAACAAAAACTATTCAAATTTTCAAGACGAACGAGAAACGCATCTTTGAAAAAAACGCCACCTCTCACGGGCCTGTGCGCTGACCTCAGCCGTGCACGGAGAAAACACACACAAACACTCCAAGATGGAGGCAGGCGGCGCTTCGCAGAGGAGTGAGCTCGTACCAAAGAAAGAAAAAATTGGTACAGATTTGAAAAGTCATATGTTGGACAAATTCATGTAAAGTGCAAGTTTACCAAATGTAGCAGTACGACAAATCTGTTCCAGCACTTACGACACAAACACCCAGTGGAATGGGAGCAATGAGTGAAACAACGTGAAGAAAATGAGCGAGTACTCAGTGCTGGGAATGTTGTTACCTGTCAGAGGGCATCTCTCAAGCCTGAAACAGTAAATAGGCTTGTGTTCCTTTTAAGAAACCTGTAAAGACCTTTGCGCTTTTCTTAATATAATTTCTTAATTCTTAATATAAGGAGGTCATGCTTGCACATTATTTAAAGTGAGCGTTGCTTATGAGCTTTAAGGAAGCTGCTTGCTATTCTTAAAAGAATATCATTAATTAAGATGGTTCTTTTATGTTTTGTTATTTTTTTTTTTGTTACAAATTTTGTTGTGCTTGCACAGTTTGAGTCCCTTAAAATGACATTTAAAAATAACCACTATTTGCACAATTTAATAAATATATTTAATAATTTCCACTTTGCATCAGTCCATCTCAGATGAGCTTTAGCCCAGAGAAGTCGGCGGTGTTTCTAGACGTTGTTGATATATGGCTTCGGCTTTACAGAGTAGAGTCTTAACTTGCATTTGGAGATGCAGCGACAAACTGAGTTTACTGACAAGGGTCGTCTGAAGTATTCTGAGAACATGTGATTCTATTCATTACAGAACGATGTCAGTTTTTAAAGCAGCGCCACACAGAGATTTCTATGGATACTGTCAATCTTTAATAATGTTATGGAATGTAGATGGTGAAAGTTGATAAGGTAAAATGTTAAATATCTTTTCTGCACTGTTTTCAATTAAAAACCTGTAAAGTCCACCTTTTAAATTGTTTTTTTTTTCTTTGAGAAAAGCCTAACTTGCATGCTAGAAGACTAGAGATAGACGCTGTATAAGTCTCTGCTTTCTGTTTTTATTTACATTTTACCTGCTGACCTTGTTGAACTTGTTTGGAATTAGGTCTGTAAGTGTGCATGTGGTTAACAATGTAACAGGCTACCATCCCGATACACGAAATAACTGTGTGTAAACAGGGTCTTTGCGAGTTTTGTAAACTTCCTCACCTTCTCCTTCAGCCTCCTCCTCAGCCTCTCTTTGGAGGACTGCAGCAGGCTGACTTTTCCTCCCTCCGTCTTGCCCTCCTTTCTGCTGTTCTCTCCTGCGGGTCCGTCCTTCCCTCTCTCCGTCCCGTGCTCCTGCTCTTCTCCTCTCACGCTCTCCGCCTCTTTGGTGTTGCGAGAGCCCGGGCCTGAGTTGGCCTGCTGTTTGTGGTGTTGGTGCCAGCGGCGGTTCTGGCTGTAGCCATGATGCGACCCGCGGCCCTGCTGGTAGCCCCGCCCCCCGTGCTTTACATTGCTTCCTTCGGATTGGTGGTCGGGGCCGAGTTGTTGCGTTTGATTGAGTGGCTGCTGTTGCTGCTGTTGCTGTTGTGGCAGCTGCTGCTGCTGCTGAGGATTGTGGGATTTCCCTCCTCCGCCTCCTCCGCCAGGGGGGCGCTGTTGTCTCCTGGAAGTGAAGTAGGCAGAAATTAGGCTTCGGTAACTGCAGACTGGGTTATCTGTAACTAGAGATGGATGAGCTTATACAGGTTGATATCTTAGGGTCAGTTACTTATTCAGGTTTTTGAAAAAAGGCACTTTGGGTGTAAAATTACATTTATTTCAATGTGTTTCACTGCGTTTCGTGTTGCTGACTTCTGGGGTGAATAGACGCCACACACAAAACTCAGAAGAACCCACTTAAGGTTCCAGATTTTTCCTCAGTAACCCCTGCAATTGCTGCACCTGATTTACTTTAATGAATGACTGTTTAACTAAATCAGGAATTGGATGATAAATACTGCTCCACAGAGAGATTTGGGCGCTGTGAACACACTGTGTAAGTGAACACACTGACATATATGCATCTCGTTGATGTAGAAAGAAAAAAACGTATCTCCATTTTTATCCATTTTTAGTTTATTACATCATTTGAATATTGCATTTGTCCTTCATATTGTTTTAAAATGTCATGATGACTGGACCTATAGAAACGCTCCAAATTCAGCTGGAATGAAACATCTTTACATTAACTTAAATTAAAAGTTGGGAAGGTCTTTTCATTCTCCTGTAAAGTTACTTTTTTGGAGATATATGTTTTTTATTGGACAGCGAAGTTTTACTATTCTATTCATTTTTTCATTTTATTCCTTTTTTTATTACATTTTTTTCAGTTTCATATCTATGTTACCAATAACTTAGGTTTGTTTTATTTGCTTTAACTTGTCTATATTGAAAATGTGGATTTCCTCTCAATGTAATTCTAAGTTTAAATACATTTAAATAAATGCTATTAAACAAACTTTGAACTGAACTGAATAAAAACACTACTTATTGCATTAATATTAATATGTAAAGGCAGTAAAGGTTATATATAAGTTGGTTCCCTGTAGAGAAAAATTAACTAAGAAAATCAACAAAACATTTAACTGTACTGGGACTTTTTCATATGACTGTATGAGCTTTTATTCTAATATTACTATTTCTGAGCACATAAATGCCTGCTGCTCAGAAAAAACAGCTTTTTAAAGCTGATTTTCTCAGGTGCATAAAACATATACAGTATCTGCTGGTGGTCACGGGAGATGAGGGGCTTGGTGAATGTGTTTTAAATAATGCTTTGAATTAGAGCTGGACGATATGGCCAAAAATGTTATCACGATAAACAAAATTTATATTGTTCGATATCGATTCATATCGCGATAAATGTCAAATCATTATTTCTTTCAAGTTTGAAGGCTGATTTTTGCTCCTGGGTGGTTAACTGCTGTTTTAAACTATCCTTTATGGTCGGAACTCGACAAACACTCACCAACCAGTGGAACATTTCACAGATCTGTGATGGGAGAGTGGGAGAGAGTGTCTGCTGAGCTGTTTTTACCAGCTGGAAAAGCATGGCTGTTTTGTAATAGTCATAATTTAAGAAAGAAAACAGATTATTTTAGCTGGTGCCGAGCGCTCGGCTACCCCGCTACACATGACATCACAGGATTCAGACACCAGCTAGACGACTGGATATTCAATTGTAGCGTAAGTACCCCTGTTATCGGCCACCTCACAACAAAACATCGGGAATCTAAGCTAACTGTAAATAAATGAAAGCACTTTACTCACCCAAATCAATGTTTTTCGGGAGAGATACGTGTGTAGATTAATGTCCAAGACTCATTTGACATGATGAGAAAACAGTTTTTTCAATAATAATGTTTTTGTCTACTTTGACACTGGTATCGCTAGAATGATGGGGATCCCCCAATATCGGCCACCTCACTTCCGGTTTTCCGTAACTCATCTTTCAGCCTAAAATTCAGCGTATAAAATTGCAAAAAACATAAAATATATGTATATATTCGTTAGTAAAATGTGATGTTATTGTATTATTTCATTATTCAGCTTGATTTGCTTGTTTATCTAAGTATGGAGCACAGCTCTTTGCTGCGCGCCTGGTTGTGCCAGTCAAATGAGAAATCGCGTTTACGCATCATTCCTACCGGACTAAATGCCTTACAGTGCTTCACAATGAGGTTAGGTTTGTCCTCTGTGGGCACCCTTACGCCATATACGTAACACCACGATGGCGGCAAACTTTTTTTTTTACCTCAGAGAAGAGAAAGCTAACCGATAAGCTAACTTTCTACACAGACGAATATCCATCGCGGAATGGAAATGAGCTGTGTGTTCCATACGGTTTTGTATACGCAGAATTACAACGTCATTAGTGATACTTAAATATTGTTTTCAGATATGATTTTTTGCTAGAATAAAGTTTAGATGCCCTTGTAAGGTGCAAGCTTATGTGTTTTGAATTTCGCCTGAGCAATTGGCGGAGAGAGAGAGAGGAATTGCGCAATGCGCGCAAGTGGCCGATATTGGGGGACGGCCGATGTTAGGGGTAGCTAGCCGCAAAATATCAACACCAGACAAACAGAGTCCTCCTTTTAGGTACGTTTAAACTGAAAGCGGTGCTTTTGTGTCGTGTTTGATCTACAGTATCATTAATTCGCCGTGTCGTTCAGTGACGAAGCGCTGCTTTAAGTTAGCCAGCTGCTAAAAAAACAGCTAGCCTGGAAAGCTAGCGCTCTCCCGCTCTTCAATGCCTCACAGCTTCCTCAGTTTACTGTCGTTTAAATCAGGGCTGTAATTTACATGAACCCACTTCTTTCTTTCACTTTCGTTGCTTGGGAATGCACCCATACTTAAATATGACTGTCCGAGCGCTGTAACAGCGCTGTAGTTGTGAGGATTGTGATTTAACGCTGCTAAAGCTGGTTAGGATGTACAGAAAGAGGTGAGTTCGCTGTAGGACAGTACAGTTACACCACTGACCTCGTCACTCACACTCGGTCACAGGAGAGCAGATCGCCGGTCGCTCCACTCAAACAGGGAATGTATAACTCCGTGTTTCAGCCGTTGCTAAAGACTCATCTTACTCGTGGCCCCCTCCCTCTCTAATCATGTAGAAAAACTTGGAAGTGCGCCCTCTCCTGGCGACAGCAGAGTAGTGTCGCTTTCCTTGCAGTAGAAAACGCCACCAAGGCTTTCGCTGAACGTGGGAGTGTGAGAGCGGTGTATTATATCGAACATTTATCGAACATGTCGTATCGCTCTATCGAGGAAAAGTTATATCGCGATAATTATCGTTATCGTTTTATCGCCCAGCCCTACTTTGAATATTAAATTTTGCCTGAAATGTTCATACATACTATATAAATACCACTCACATTATTATTATCATCATTATTATTACCACTTAAGTGTTGGAGAACAGTTGGTGGTATGGAGAAATAGGTCAAATACAATGTGATTTGACTGTGCATCAGCATGTACATAAACAGCAACACATCTACAGCAGATGTGGAAACCTTGACCTTGATGTTCCACTGTGAGGTAGAGATTAACACCACTCTTAATATCACATCTGTTCAGCTTTCCTGATTCTCTCTGTGAGAACATGTTCAACAATGTCCAAAAGTATCCAGACAACCCTTCTAATGAGTAATTTAAGCTACTTTGGGGTCACCACTGCTGACACAGGTGTTCTGGAGCAGCTGAACCTAAGGTCACCATCCCCAATACCAAGTGTCAGCTAGAGGGCTCTAAAGCCCCCCAGCACTGGGCTGTGGAGCAGTGGAACTGTGTTCTCTGGAGTGAAGGAGCTCCATCCAATACCTTTGGGATGAGTTGGAGTGATCCAGAACTGACCATCCAACATCAGTACCTGACCCTGCTCAATCAAATCCTCACAGCAATGTTCAACATCTAGTGTAAAGCCTTCCCAGAAGAGTAGAGGCTGATTTCAGAGGAAATGCTGAATGAGCAGGTGTCCAACTTTTTAAGGTTAAGTAGAATATTTATGAACATAAGCAGGTCATTTTTCCAGAATTCAGAGCAGAGAATTTCTCAAAAGCAAGTCCTGTAAGATCCCTCAAGCAGCTCTAGAGCAGACGGATATTTCTATAGCTGTGTCTTGTCTGTGAGACTCACTGACCGCTTGCCTTTTAGTGTGAGTTTTTCCCAAAGCTGAAGAGGTCGAGGGAGCGCTCCTGTGCTTTGCAGCTTTGCTGCCCACTCATCTCCAGGGTTTAGAGCCAGCCGGAGAGGCCGTGGCCAAGTCTGTGCCATTAAAGCGCTCCCACTCAGCCGTGGCTGACCTACATTCATCCAGCACACATAAACACGAGTCTATGGCTACACGAGGGGCCTGCAGGCTGCCGCTCCAGCCTACTGTTCTGCAGGGCTATTTTTACCAAGCCAGCATTCTGCAGCAATATCAGCTGGATCCAGCCAGCCGTCCAGAGAGACGGGGGGTGGCGGGGCGGGTAGATCAACTGACTCTATGTGTTATAGGCCTCACTGCACTGAATGCTAGAGTGACAGACTGCAAATGTATGCTCGTCACTGGTTGAGTACAAAGTACATAGAGTCACTGTCATAACAGAACCTCTCCACTCTCAGTTTTCAGTTTTACATCACTTGAAAACTTCAGCCGCTCTTTACGTTGAGAAAACAATTCTTGATTAATTCTTGATAAATTATTTAAGTTACATTAACTTAAAGGTTTGGAATCAATGTTTTCAATTAATGCTTTTTGTTGGAGATAAAGATATAACATGATTCTGCTCATCCTGCACAAACTCACAGCTTTCAATTAATTAGCTGGACTCTAGAAAGCTATAAATGAAATGTGTCCAGAATGATGAACAGAGCTGTAGAAGATCAAAAAAAAAAAGACTGGAAAAGCTGCAGAGCATTAAAAATTAAGTTATAACGAAATGAATATCCAGTCACTATATTTTCAGGCCCTAAAAAACTGAGGGGCTGGCAACTTCTCTAGAACTAGGCTGGTCAGCCAGCTAACAGGCTAAAAGAGCCAACAGCCTAAACAACTCCATCATCAATATCACAGGCTTGAATTAAAGTACTTACGGTGTGATTAACTGTAAAATGGCAGTATAAAAGCCTAAAAAT